ATAGAGATTATTTTTTTTTATATTTTTAATCTTTTTAAATATCTTCTATATGATTGATTTAAAGAATTAAATAGAATTTTTTTTAATTTTACTATTAGATCAATAATTAGATTAAATTTTAAAATAAGTTAATAAAATTTTTATAATTATTTTCTAAAATATAAAAATAATAAAAAACTAATAATTTTAATTTTAATTAAATTAAAAAAGAAATACTAGTTCTTAATAGAAAATGAATTAAAAAAATTAATTTTAAAGAAAAATTATTAAAACTTATTGATTTTATCTATAATAAAGAAATTTTTTTCATATAGCTAATATACAATCTAATCTTTGAAAATAGATATAAAAATAATAAATATTTTTTTACTTAAAAAAAATTTAAATTTAAGTTAAATTTTTTTAATTTTTAAAGATAAAATAGAAAAAAACTAATATTTTAAAAGAAATCTATAAATTTTACTATATCATCTTTTCTACTAAAGTATAATCAAATTTAATTAAATATTTATTTGAGTTTGACTGAATTTTAACTGAGCTCTATTATATTTGTTAGAGAATTAATTAAAGCTCAACTTTATAAAATATATTATTAAGTATGCAATTAGTTTTAACTTGTCTCTATTCTCAACTATACTTAATTAGTTCTAATCTTGAGCTCATTGTCTATAAAGATTAAATACAGAAATCTTAAATCATATGCTTTTCACTTTTTTCAGATATCTTTTTAACTATGTTTAAGCAGATTTTGATGAAAGTAATATATGAAAATACTTAGCAAGATTAAAAAAAATTAAAATTAATAAAGTTTTTAAAGAGATAAAATTTATCCTTTTTCAATAGTGATTTAATAAAAATTTTTAAAAATTATCTGAGTTGTTTTATATTAATTAATTTTTTATATATTTAATTTTTATACTAATTGAATGAAGTATTATAAATTGATGATGAAAGTTATTGATAATTATCTAATTTTTAATAAAAAGTATATTATTATCAATTATACTCTCAATTTTTATTTAAAATTTATGAAAATTAAAAGATTAATTAATTTTAATAAAAGGTTTTAAATAAAAATATTTTTAATTTAAAATTCTAAAAATTAACTAAGTTATATAAATAGAATCAATTGAAAAAAAATTACTAAAGCTTTGATAAATAAATTAATTAAAATAATATTTATTTAATTATTAGTAGATATGAATTTTAATTATTATTTGATTAAATATTATTATCAAAAATATTATATAGAGAGAAAAAATTTAAATAAAAAAATATTTAACAATATATTATTTATTTAAAAAAATTTAAAAACTAATAACTAATAATATAAATTACAAGTTAATAAATATCATTGTAAATCAAATTTTGAAATAAAATAAAATTTTTTTATTATTTAAAAACTATAGAATAAAATAATTTTTATAGAAAACTTATAAAGTAAAATAAAAAAATTTTAAAATTATTGAAAAAATTGACAATAATTATAAATTAAAATTATTTAATAATATGAAAATTCATTCAATATTCTTTTTTAACAAGTTAAAAAAAGATATAAATAATTTTTTATCAAAATAATAAAATAAAATACTAAAATCTATTAAAATATAAACTAAAAATAAATAAAAGATTAAAAATATTCTAATATATTATATTTTTTATAACATTTTAATATTAAATATAATAATTATAATTTAATAATAATTCAATATAATATTCAGTATTAAATATAAAAGATTTATTATATTTAATTTAAAAGATTTATATAGTAAATTTAAATTATTAAAATTATTAAAATATATAAATAAGTGACTAAAGACTTAATAAAAAAATTATTATTTTTTTTAATAATATAAAATAACTATCTATTAATATAAAAATATATATAAATTTTAAAAAAATAATATAATAGCATTTATTAATTACTATACTATAACAGTATATAACTATTAAATATAAATACTGTCAGATACTTTTATCATATGATCTGCTTTTTATTATATAGAGTTATTTTTATAATATATAATCTCTATAATCAATCAAGTTTGTCATTCTGTCAAATATTAATATTAATAGAAAAAATAATAGTAATAGTTTAACAACTGCTTTAATAGAGTTGAGCTATTTAGTGATTTTTTTATAAATAATTACTTTATAAATAAATATTTTAAAGAAATTATTTAATAATAATATAATAATTATTAATAAAAAAACTTATATAAATAAAGACTTTTTTAAGTATTTATTTTATAAGTACTTTAATATTTTATTGAAATAATTTATTTAATTAATAATTAAATATTTATTTATATTTAATTTAAAGTTATAATAATTTTTAATTTTTATAAATAACTATTTTTTCTATTATTTTTAAATTAATTTAAGTATAAATAATATAAAAAAAATACCATAAAATTAAAAAAATTTAATTAATAAAATTTCTTTTAAAAAATAAATAAATAAAATTTTTTGAAAAATTATTATTTAATTAAATATATATTAAATATATATATTATTATTATATTATTATTTAAATAAATAAAATTTTTAATTTTTAATATAAATTTAATTTATTTTTAAAATATTTAATAAATTTAATAATTATAATTTTAATTTTAATTAATTTTTTTATTAAAAATTTTTTTATTTTTATAATTTAATTAAAATAAAAATTATATTTTAATAATTTATTTATTAAATAATAATATTAAAAAGAAATTTAAAAAATATTTTATAGATTAATTAAATATATATTTTTAATATTAAATTAAATATAAATATTTTATTAATTTTAAAAAAATAAATAATAATTATTTTTTAAAAATAAGTTAAATTTCAATAAAACTTTTATTTAAAAATATACTATTTAAAAATAGTTTTAGTATTTTTAAAAAAAAATATAAAAAAAAAAACTAAAATTTTTAATTAGTTTTATAATCTATAAAAAATTTATATAAAAAATATTAAATAACTTAACAGCAGCTTAGACACTACTAAATTGACCATTTTTATATGAGTCTGAATGAATTTTACAAACCTCTCTTTTTAATTTAAGAGCTTTTATTTTTACAGTAATTGACATATTGAATTAATAGTTGAGGGCGCGCGTGAGGTTAAATTAACTCTGGGTTCCGGTGACCAGAAAGCCCATCCTTACATAATCTCACCCATTACGTGGAACTACCAGCCAACCAACCAGGCAGCATTTCCCCAACAGCGCTAAACCGCAAGCAGCGCTAGCGCCATTCCAGGCCTGAAACCCTTCCTCCCTCCTCGTTCTTTACCATCAACCATCCACCATATCTCCAACGAACGCACGAACGCACGAACGCACGAACGAACCATAGCCCTACCTGCATTGGCAATATCAAACTCGCCTTGTATCATTCCATCTAGTTACTGCTCAGTTAGCCTGTGTTTAACAGCCACGGTTACGGTTACGCTCACGGTTGTCGGCGGGAAGATTACGGTCGTTTGATCGCCTTGGGCTTGTCCGTTAATACCAGGGTATTTCCGTATTCATTACATAGGTATGCCTGCCTAGATAACATTGAAAGGATGTTGTTCTTTTTCTTCTGTTTAGCTTGACTCACTTATTTACCACGCCCGGTGCTGTCTGGAAGGTGTTTGAAAAGGATATACACAACACCTCTACAGAAAATAGAACTAAGCCGTTCACTTACCCACCTACTGTTTCCTACCTTAATCTGCGTTTAAATATCCCAGAGGCCCCATCGTTTGTCTATCTATCCGTCGTTTCTCTCGAATTGCAACTGGGAGATTCCTGCTGGGTTCCAACCATACGCACACTATTTGATAGCCGCCTAGTTGACTGCTAGCTAGTTATTTAGCCCTTTGATTTGTTCAAGGTTTGTCTTCGCCGAATACGTTTACGGTTCAATTCACACCTGTCCATACATCCATTCATCCATCGATAGACGGGACCGACCAGACAGGAGGAGAACCAACCTGCTCATATTCGCATCACATCCCGGTTCCGATTCCGATTCCAAGACTCATATCTTCTACATCTTCATCATGAATCCCGAGTGGTGAGTTTTATTGCATCTGATTTCTCCTCTTGTATTTCTTTCTTTGCTTCGACTTGCACTGTACTGTTTTCTTCCTGCTTTTATCCTTGGTAGTTGGATATGGGCATGGATGTGGGACACGGGGCGTATGGCTTGGAGATGGATGGATATGGATACAAAGACGGAGGCAGATGGACACAGGTGTGTCAAATGTGGACGCGGACACAGACAACATGTTGTCGTACACAATGTATATCATCGGCATCAACATGACGTTTCAATGTCGACATCTGCGCATCTGTCCTATCCTATCTTGTCTATCCGCCTTTCCTGGATTGAGTTTATCGGCTTTAGCTGAGATGTGCACATGTTTGGCCAAATCCACTCTACTCCATCCCGGTATGCAGATATAGGAGATATATGCAGGAAAAATGTTCCTCTGCGTGCCTGTGCCTGCCTACCTACTCTGTCGGATGGTTCGCATACGTCACTGTGCCATCCCTTACTCTGCCATCTGCTATTCTTTTGATATTCTATGCTATTTCATTTTCATTTGCGTTTTCATTGATGCATCTTGCTAACGATATCTTTTCTATACAGAGTCTCCTTGTTTTCCATTTGCTTTGACATTTGATATCTACTCATAATACCCACCTCTCCTTTACCTGTTGGTGTTGGTGATAATGGGCTGTGCTATTTCACGAGCCAAAATTTCAGTGCAGTCACGTACGAGTCGGGTTGAATATCGCAATCTGTCTTTCAACGAGACTGAGCTGGACAGGACTATGAGTATTGTGACGGGCTGGGCCGGGCTGACCTACATCATTCCCTCCCTCATTCGCCCGATACCTGTACAATAACCCCATAAACTATATGGAAACCATGAATACCCCAACATATAACACCCAATACTTAAATGGATACTAAAGGAAAGGAAATATAGATACGACTACCTTTTCAAGCTCCTCCTGATCGGCGACTCCGGTGTAGGCAAGTCATGCTTGTTGCTGCGGTTTGCGGATGATACGTATACCGAGAGTTATATTTCGACGATTGGAGTGGATTTCGTAAGTGGTTTCTTTTTTCTCTTTCTTTGTCTTTGTCTTCGTGTTTTGTGTTTTGTGTAGTTTTCTGGCTCGTTTGTGATGGTGGTTGGTTGGTTGATTGGTTGTGGAATGAGGGTGAAAAGGAAACAAGGCTGGGGAAGTTGGCTTCTTGCTTTGCCTTTGAATGTGCTGAGTTAGATGGGTTGAATGGGGTTTTGATTCATTATGCCTATGCGGAGACCCAATTAATTTGACGACATTATACATGGATCAGAATAGCTAATCCTCCCATTTTCACTCTAGAAAATCCGAACAATCGAGCTGGACGGCAAAACTGTCAAACTCCAAATCGTACGTGTCAACCTCTCCTTCCGTCACTGGTTCACTCCAACGTCCCCATCATCCAACAAATGATCCTACATAAAACTAACATTTGTGTACTACAGTGGGACACAGCCGGCCAGGAACGTTTCCGAACCATCACATCCTCCTACTACCGCGGCGCACATGGCATCTGCATCGTCTACGACGTGACGGACATGGACTCCTTCAACAACGTGAAGCAATGGCTGCAGGAGATCGACCGCTATGCCACCGAAGGCGTGAATAAATTGCTCGTCGGCAATAAGAGTGATATGGAGGATAAGAAGGCGGTTGAGTATACGGTTGCTAAGGTTAGTTCTTTATTTTTTTATTTTTTATTTATTATTTTATTTATTTTTATTTTATTTTTTTATTCTTGCGTCTTGAGAGATAAATCCAATTTCCCACCAAACCGTTCTTTTTTCGGGACTTGGGTTTTGCCTTTTGCTAACAATAACAAACAGGAATTCGCTGATTCCCTAGGCATTCCCTTCCTGGAGACGTCCGCCAAGAGTGCGTCGAATGTCGAGCAGGCGTTCTTGACCATGGCGAGACAGATTAAGGAGCGCATGGGCACTGCGACCGTGAATAATAAGCCGACTGTGCAGGTTGGACAGGGGCAGGGAGTGCAGTCTGGGTCTGCGAGCGGGTGCTGTTAAGGGGTTGTGTGTGGCGGACGTTGAGGGCTGAGGCTGATGGGATGGTGATGGCGATGGCGATTGGGGCGGGGTAGATGAACGTGTGTTATGTATGGGATCGATGGGATGGGTGCGGGTGGTGTTTTCGCTGCTGACGATTTGTTGCTGGGTAGGTGGGTGTTGGGCGGGGTTGTTAGATGGGATAGGACGGGATTGGATGGGATTGGGGATACGCTGTGCTCGGCCTTCCGTTTTACCATGTCGTCCCCTCTCTATACACCCCATCCACCTCCCTCAATGCCCTTCCGCGTGAAATCAAAAGACTTTCCAAACACAAGCCACCTTTGCAATATCTATTACAAGCCCAAGCCCAAACTCAAGCAAAAGCTACGGATGGAAAACTTTCTAAAATAGACCACAACACGAAGGAAAGGCTTTCCCTTTTCATGTGATTTCCATCCATTCATCCATTCAAAGCAGAGCACCAAGGATTTCATTTTCTTTTCTTCACTACTCGTCTTCATCACACCCGGGGGAGGGCTTCTCCATCAATGTCGTTCGAGTCAAGAAATGGGTTGTTTTTTCTCTTGCTTTCCCCTTTGGCCCCGCTGGACATCAACTAGCATACACTTCCTTTCCCCCCGGCCCATCATTCCCCATCAATCGACTCGCCCGCTGACTTTTACCCCTCCTTCTGACATGAGCAATGCACAGCATCCCCTACTTATTCCCCTGGCAGATTTGAGTTTCCCTTGGACGTTGGAGTGTGTGTGGTGGAGTGGAGTTGGACTGGAATGGCTGTTCCTACCTTAACCTTCAACAGTTCTGTTTTTATCTTTTTCTTTTTGCCCGTTGTATTTTTTCCGTTAGATGTTAATGCTAAATCTCCCTTCCTCTGAGTCCTTGATGTTTGATTGATTTATTTTTGTTTTGCTTAGTTCTGTTTTTGAAATCTTTTCCTGACTGCAAACTTCTTTTATATCATAAACCTGGACCCCATTCATTATTCCTCCCACTATTACCGATCTACCGATCTGATGTCTTTAGAAAGCTCATGGGTTTTTATTTTATCTTCTCACGTTACTAAATTTGATATACTATAATTTTTATTTTTTTTTATTTTTTTATTTTTATTTTTTTTTTTTTTGCCTCTTTCTAGGTTCCGCTAACCATTGTTTATAGATAACTTTTTGAGTGATGCATTCATTATATTAATGGTATATATATAGATAGATTTGCTGTGATGCTGTCTGATGTCTATATTGCTTTAAAGATAGAAAGAGATAGAGAGTGTGTGGTATATTATAAAAGTTATCTCCCTCTTCTAATCTGGTTTTTATAAATGTCTCTTCACAGAATCGCATCGCAATAAATGAAAGTGAGAAACTGTATACAATCGGTCCTTTCTCTTTCTACACCTGTAGCAAACGGCAAATGTCAGAGGAAAGCCTCATGCATAAGATGAGGACTTGAGAATACAACTCTCTCCAGCCTTCTAAGTGTTTTTCTTCAGCTTAGCAAAATTGTGTTTCTGTGTTTCTGCGCCAGCATGAAGCGAGTGGGGAACTGCTTCAACTATATCCAACATTTACTCTGTCCATCCATTCATGCTATCGTTGTTAGTTAAATAAGCAAACTATGGAACGGGCTGCGTTTCAGCTTTCCCGGCCCAAAAGCCAGCCGAGGCATCAGTCCCGGCTAAACGTCATCTGCAACATTCTTTGTTAACTAATAACCAACCCACGAGTTGGGTTCCTCGACCGAAAGCTTCATTCTGTGCCGATGCATTCTCGTCAAGCTCTCGTCCCCGTCTTCCAAGGAAACAATATATATATATATATATATATATACGGAAAATATTTTTAACTAAAGGGCTCACTGCTTTTCTCTTCCCGCTGCCCACTTCCGCTCCTTTCCAACGCAGACCAACCTGATTAAACAAACATCCGTCCCGTGCCCGTCCCGTGCCATCCGCTCCGCTCTTTTATATATCCTGTATATACAATACGACTGCACTGTGCGAAGCCAAATCCCATAATGTCCCAGCCCGTATCGAAAGAGCAGCAGCAGAGGGCGGTTGCTGCCGCTGCCTCCGCCCCCGTCGCACAGCAGAGTGATAACATCGCTCATGCCCTCGCTGGCGCTGGAGGTGGTATATTGTCCATGATTCTGACGTGAGTTGGCTAAAACTCTGTTGTTTTTTGTTTACAAACTTCGCATTTTCATATTTATGGTACCTACCTTGTGGGCAATGCGTATGCGCATGTGCATTTTTCTTCCACAAATCCTCAACCGTCAACGCTCAACCCCCAACCCCCCGACCCCCTTCCTCTTACACTCAGCTCATTCACAACCCATCTAACAACTCCACCCAGCTATCCCTTAATAACCCTCTCAACCCGCGCCCAAGTCGAATCAACCCGCACATCGACCACCACCCTCTCAGCAGTCCGCCACATCCTTGCCCGCGAAGGCTTCCGCGGCCTCTACGCCGGCCTCGAATCCGCCCTCTTTGGCATCTCCGTCACAAATTTCGTCTACTACTACTGGTACGAGTGGACCCGCTCCGCCTTCGAGAAAGCAGCCATGAAAGCCGGCCGCGCGTCGAAGAAACTCACCACGGCCGAGTCCATGATTGCAGGTGCCATCGCGGGAAGCGCGACGGTGCTGCTTACGAATCCGATATGGGTGGTTAATACGAGGATGACGGCGGGGAGAAAGGGGGAGGAAAAGGGGGGTGATGAGGAGGTTGGAAAGGGGAACGGGAAACCGAAGCCGAAATCAACCCTCGCGACGCTAATGGAGCTACTGCGCACGGAGGGGCCGACGGCGCTCTTCTCCGGCGTCCTGCCCGCGCTTATCCTCGTTATCAATCCGATATTGCAGTATACGTTCTTCGAGCAGTTGAAGAATGTGCTCGAGAAGCGGAGGCGGATTACGCCTACCGATGCGTTTTACCTGGGCGCGTTGGGCAAGTTGCTGGCGACGAGTATTACGTATCCATATATTACGGTGAAGAGTCGGATGCATGTTGCTGGCAAGGGCAAGGGCACGGGGAAGGAGGAGGGGAAGAAGGCGAGTTTGAATGAGACTATGATGGGGATTGTGAGGGAAGAGGGATGGGGGGGCTTGTATAAGGGTGTGTATTTTTGCTTTCTTTTGGAGCGGTTGTCTGTTTGGTTTGTGGGGAATTGTACTGACCGGATTAATGCTAGGTATCGGGCCCAAGGTCAGCCAGAGCGTGCTCACGGCTGCGTTCTTGTTCGCGTTTAAGGATGTGCTGTATGATAGCATGGTTACCCTGCGCAGACGGAGTCTTCTGAGGTAAGAAGGGCAGGTCCGTTTATGGGACTTAAGGAAATTCTATTCAATTACAGAGTACGTTGCCCTTTTCCTTTAGGAGGAAGTACAAATGTCAATTTTAGTCATGTACTCATCAGAAGAAACATAGACTTTTTTTTTTTTTTCTATTTATTTTTTTTATACTGTGGTCGGATAACAGGGTTTGTATTTTCTCATCTCTGTGTTTAGAATTTGGTAGATTGAGAGGGAAGAATGAGCTAGAAGGAAGAAACTAGCAACAAAACAAGAGAATGCATTCTTCTTCTTAAATAGTTGATGTTGTATATATATATAATTTTACATATTTTTGTTTCATTTTTGTATATATAAATTTATGTCAGTTGAATGCTTTTCTCACTTTCTATCTTTTGCTTATTGTTCTTTTAATTGATAAATCTTGATCATCAGCATGATGAGAGATTGATCAATAAAATTTTAGCAATGTAGATAGTGACTTCAGAGTTCAAAAAATTATTTTAATAAATAATTTATAATAATTCACTTCTTTACTGTAAATAATATAACTATATATATATTTTTTAAAAAAAATAAAAAAATATTAAAAAAATATATTTAATAAATATATTTATTTATTAAATTATTTAAATATATTAAATTTTTTTTATTTATGAAGAAGTTTTTTTAATTGAAAATAAATTAAAATTTTAAATATGAAATATTTACTAAATACTTTTTATATTTTTCATTAGCTAATATAATTAAAACTTGAATATGACTATTTTAAATTTTATTTAAAAAAATTAAAAATTTTATCAGTGTAAATAAATATAAATTTTATAATTTTATTAAAATTTTATATTATAATTAATAAATTATTTATTAAATAAATAGTTTTAAAAAGAAATTAAAAAAAATTTTCTCTATTAATCAATTAAATATATTTATTAAACTGAGAATAAAGTTATTAATTGATTATATAGAGAAAATAAAAACTGTTTTTAAAGAATATATTTTAAAATTAAATAAAAATTTTATTTAATTTATATTATTAATAAATATTAAAGTTTAAAAATTATTTTATTAAATATTTTCTTTTATTATTATTAATTTTATTATTATTAATTTATTTTTATATCTATTTATATTTTATTATTAAAATTTTTTAAAATGTTAATATAATTATTTTTTCATCATATAATTATCTTTTATTAATTGACTTTTATTTTTATTTACTTTTTTTATTTTTGTAAGTTTTTTTATTTTTTAATTTTTTTTTTAATTAAATTAAGTATATATAACTATATTTTCTATAATATATTTGATTAAATACTGTATTATTTTAAGATAAAACTATATAATTTTATGTATAAAATTATGTATGTTAATCAGATTTACAAGAGAGTTAAATCTTAGTATAACTATATAAATATTATAATTGTTAACTGTATACATTACAAATAAAGAATAATAGTATCAATAAAATAAATATGTTTTGCTTATTTCAATTACTTTTCATATTTGAAAGTACTTGCTTCATTTATCATATACTTATATAATTATTACTAATCATATGACAAATAAGATGAAATTTAACTTATTGGTAACTGCAATATTGTAATAAAATATTTCAATATATATATATAATATAATTTCTTTATAAGAATTATATAATTATACTAAAGAAAAACTGAAATATTATAATTAATAATTAATTATTTTATATAAATATAAATTAATAATAATTAATTTTTTTTATAATATAATAATATAATTATAATATAAAAATATTTATATTTTTAATTTTATTATCTTATATTATAGTATTTATTTTTTTTATAAATGAAAATATTTTTATTAATATATAAAATAATTTAAAAATTTAAATTTTAATATAATTATAAAAATTTAATTATAAATAAATTTTATAATAAATTTTATTTTATTTTAATATTAATAATATTAATAAATTATTAATTAAATTATAAAATAAAAATTTTAATATAATTTTTATATTTAAATATTTAAAATTTATATTAAAATTTAATTAATTAATATATATAAAAATATAAATAAATATATAAATATATAAATTAAAAAATTTATAATAATAAATTAAATAAAAATTAAATAAAAATAATTATTAAATTAAATTAATATATTAAAAATAAAAATAAATTAAAATAAATTAAAATAATAATAATTTATAAATTTAATAATAAAATATTAATATAATATTTAAAATTAATTTTTAATTATATATAAAAAATATTAATATATTAAATAATTTATATTTATATTTGTTAATTTTAATAAAAGTTTTATATATATTTTTAATCTTATATAATAAAATTTAAAAAAATAATTTTTTTACTCTTATTTAAAATTTTAAACTTTATAGACATATAAACTATAAAAGTAGCTCAAACTTTAAAATTTTATAACAAAAATAATTTTATTACTAAGTTACAACTAGTCTAAAATAAATAAACAATTAACTTGATTTTTTTAAAATTTACAATAACATTTAATCTTATTTATAAACTATATAGTTAGTTAATAGGGTTAAAATTCTTACTAATCTAATTGAATTCGGGTAAATGAATTCAGATGAGCGAGTTCGAATGAGCAATATATAACTGTATAACTGTATAACTGTATAAGCGAGTATAAAAACATCATATTCTCATGTAAGAAGGATCAATCACTTTCGAGTCTCCAAGGAACCCGCGCGGGAAATCCCGTGATAGGTAGTTACCCACTGGATTTGACAGATATCTGTCTGACTAAGCAGTGATGCGCCACGACTAACAACTAACTAACTAGTTAACTGCAGTTAACTAGTTAGATGGTTGGACGCGCCCCAAAAATACATTAACTGGCACATCGGACGCTGCTCAAAGTTCAAGCTCTATACACACGGGTAACCCTCCAAACACGGACGCGTCGAGGTATACATACGATATCGCATGTGTTTTGATGGATAGCTAGTTAGGTAAGTGAGTTTTCTTCTGGACATTTCTACCTTGGCAGGCTAGGCGTGGCTGGGAGGAGAGGGACTCCGCTGTGTATGATGCATACCGCTCTTCCTTGCAGTGCGGCCCAGTTAGTTACGCTATGAGGGTGTTGAAAAGCGTCGCGTTTTTTGTTTTGCTGGCGGACTCTTTTGTCTATAGATATATATACTTTTTGACACTCTTGATCAACTCGTCATAGTCAGGTATATTATATTGATCCTCGTTGCTTGGTATGATTAGGGCCACTGTCTCCCTGGGGTTTCTTCGTTACATCAACGCACTTGAGAAGGGGGCCATTCATCATTTCCAAGCGCCGGATATTGAGGATAGGGGTCAATTGAGTCTCTATATTTGCACACTTTGATATTTCTGGCTTCCGGCCCTTGAGCGGGGATTGGCGTCGAAGCTTTTGAGGGTTACGTACTGTACGTCCACCAATTGTGCTGCATCTGACGTACGATCTTTATCTCTAAACGCCCGGATAAGAAGGGATATTAACCTTTCAATTTCTGGCTGGCTTTGATACACCCTGTAATCATTTCCAATGGTTCCCCCCAACTGAGCCAGATATCCTGACGACATTGATTTTATTCCCCGACACGCCTATGTCTTATCTTCAATCGAACATCGATTTTCTGAATACACGGACGATATATAATAAGAATGATAGGCTTCTCGAGTCCTTCCCTGCTCATATTCGGAGACTGAAATCTCAAGGAAAGATGTCGCAACATGCACAGGCGTCCCCGCCTCCGCCTCCTACTGATGCGGGAAGACGGGCGGTAAGTTTGCGAAATATATTTGTCTCATTTCCTACGCGTATCCATTTTTCGTCCGTTCTAATTGGTCGTTTTGTTTTCAGGTGCCTATGAAAGCTAGACGGGGGGGTATTAGTTTAGGTGGGAAGCGCAAGTTATCTCAAAGTGAACTGTTTCGTCGACCGGGAACTATCTATCTCCCATCTCAATCCTACCACCACCACCATCACCACCATCACCACCGCCAACAACAACAACAACAACAACAACAACAACAACAACAGTCGTCGCAGATAGCTTCTGAGAATGTTCCGGAAGCATCGACATCATTGACAGCGTGTGTGAAAACTGATGCATCCACAAACAACCAGCCGAGTGCGATTGTTCAGTCGGCATCATTGACAAGAGGGTTCTCGCCAGAGCCGGATTTGGATGACAGAGATTCATTGGATAAAAGGGCGCAATCCTTGCTCCATCAATTTCTTTGTACCAGCTCAGCGAAGTTAATGAAATGGGCTGATTCTGGGCTTAGGTCAGAGCCAGAGTCGCGTAATTCACAAGCAAAAGCGCCACGGACTGCTGATGGTGAAGTTAAGAAGAATATTCTTGGTGCTGAGGTTTTTCTCGGGGGAGAAGAAGACGTTGACTCGAAGAAAGTTGTTGATTCTGAGAAGTTTCATTCAAATGAAAGTCTCTCGGGGAGAGCTCACGATTCTCAATGTTCTGGTGTTATGCACAATAGTGTAGCAACACCCGCAGCAACAACACCACCAAAGAATCATGTCAATCTACCCAGCAAAAACACCCCGCCGTTTCCAGGAATATCCGCTCAGAATCATACGCAGGATCTGAACAACGAACAACACAATGCTGTGTTACCTGAACTGGCTGGCATTGCCAGCTCCTCTACAGCCTCGAAAATCCAAAGTGCTTTGTCTGGCTTAGCAACAACAACTCCACCCTCATATCCCGTTCCTACTGTTGTTGTACTTCAACGTCCTCCCCCGGAAGTCTTTATCAAACCAGGTTTACGAGCGTCTTCAACTTCCTTGTCCACAAACCTGCCGGAGAAGCATCCAAGGAAAAAGCCAGGACCAAAACTTAAAATGGCCCGTTCTGACTGCAGCACCAGCTCCTTTATTCCGTCAGAATGCCCAAGTGAGACTTCTGTACGACGTCCCCGGCGCGCTCGTACTGCGCCAATTAATTACTACGCCAAACGTCCCGGATTTTATGGGTATAAGGATGAGGAGGAAGGTGAGGAAGAAACACGAGCTCCCGAACCTATTAAATCACCAGATGATAGCCACAAGGAAACCACATTGAATGACCAACTCGCTCCAGTTCCTGAATCTACACGCCCTCCATTTCGTTCAGAATACCGCTCTGGCTATTTGCAAGTGGAGAAGTCGCCGTTAACCGAAGTTGTTTCCAATATGTTTGAGAAATACGCTCCGTACTGTTCACAAGATGCGAGAAAAGGGTATGGTAAGAGATGCGAGAATGAGAAGCTTGACGAAGACGATCCGGAGGGACAAGTGATACATGTAGATTTCGATCAACGGGAAATGGAAGGGCTATATCTTGCCATGACAGGAAAATTACCTGCTGAATCCGATGTCCCGCTGCCGGACCAGCTTATTCATGCCGCTCGTAAATTTTTCCCAAAACCGCGAGAGCAAAAGGCCTTGGTTGGGAAGATTTTCTATCTCAATGTTATTCGCAAGTCCCTGCTTGAGATAACTGATAATCCAATCGCACTCCTGCTTCATCTGCGTCAGAAAAACAATTCATGGCGTAAAGTCGATAAAGTACCCAGTGTACAGACAATAATGCGGATCGTTTCTCATATCCCTCTAGTTTTCAATTTGCAGGAGGAACAGCCCAATCGCGTTCATTCTGTTCGTTATATCCAACAGGCTGTGCAGCGCATAAGCGACGATGACTTTGATTACTTGGTATCAGTGCTGCCTCACATGGACTTTTTCAAATTTCGCAGAAAACAACATATTCGTGCTTTTTTATCAGACGCTGCACAAGGGCTTATTTCATCTACTCCGCACCTTTTACGGGCAATATCCTCTAATGCTGCATACCCGTCCCCCGATTACGATTCCATGAGGCCTTCAGCTTTACTCCGCGGACGTGAATTAGGCGAGATGGTCTATCGACGGAAGACCCCTATCAATCGAAAGCTCCAGATGAACAAAAGTTTGGAACTCTGGAAGCGTTGGAAAGGCGCGTCGAATGACGTTGTGGTTCTTGCATGGTCTCCTGATGGTACGCGCTTTGCTGCTGGCGCCGCAGCTCAGTCCGATGAGCATAATATGATGTATAACCGGAATAACAATTTGCTGCTGGGAGACTTAACTTGTAATTCATTGAAAGAACTTCCCGATCACCGTACCCCGCGGCCCGCACCGCACAATGTTACGGACCCCAACCTCTACATGTCTGTCAGCGCTGTCCATTGGCGCGATGATTCGCTATATACTGCCAGCTATGACAGCACTGTTAAGGTATGGGACGTCTCGACGCATTCTGGGGCAAGGTGTGTTAATACCCTCCGACACCATGGACGGGTTACGGTTATGGCTGTATCGAAATCCGGCATCGTTGCAACGGGCTGTGATCCCGCCTCTCATATCAAACTCTGGAATAAATCCGAAGACGGTCGTGATTACAGCCCCTTTGAACTGGCGTGTCATCCGACGAAAAACGTGGAAATGGTACCCTCTTCCCTGACCTGGGGCCCATTCTCCGCAGACAACTTTCTTGTCGCCGGGCTGGCTGGGCGCAACGATGAGAATTACAGAAATGGCTATCTTGCCGTCTGGCAGATGGGCGAAGCAGCGCCCATTCCCTTAGCGGTATCGCCTAATTCCCAGAACGTGTTTGACGCGGTATGGCACCCGACGGAGCGCATTTTTGCAACTGGCAACTCAGTGCCATTCACAGTTAGTACGCTGGGTCTTGCGAGGTCGACTCGCTCGATGGTCCGAGTCTATGACCCGCTGAGATCTAGGGCTTTGATATTCTATGAATGTCCGGCGCTTGATATTAATGACGTCACCTTTTGTCCCGCTAATCCCAATTATATCACCGCCAGCTGTACCGATGGGGTTACGTATGTGTGGGATTATCGAAATCCTGGCCAAGTTCTTCACAGACTATCTCACGGCACACCGATCTTGGAGCAAAATACAACTGTTTCTCGAGAACAGCATGATACCGGTGTGCGCATGGCGCTGTGGAGGAATAACTGGATCGACCAGTTTTATACCGGGGGTTCGGACGGCGTTCTTAAGAAATGGAACATTCTCAGGGCACCGGAGGATGTACTTGTTGAAAATACCGCGAGTTTTGATCAGGGGATCATGTCTGGTGCTTTCTCTCCCGATTTCACCAACTTACTTGTTGGAGATAGCTGTGGGAGTATTCATGTGATATCTAGTGCCCCGTTTTCCCGCGAGGGTGGGGAAACTCTGGCCTACGAGCCTGCTGATAAAGACAGGGCCTCGGAGGATGATGAAAACCTGGGCACCAAAACTGCACAGGAACTCCTCTCCTCCGGCAAGCTGAGTCGCCATCCCATATTTGGCGTTGGTCAGGGTCCCCGCTATGACGGTCCCTTTGCCGCCTGGGCAAGGGCGCCAGGAACTCCCAGAGAACTCCTGCCAAGTACGCCTCTACTTCCGGACGTCCGGGCTACGCAGCTCTACGGGCCGTCCGTTAATACTCGTCATCAACTTGATAGCGACGGCAAGAAACAACTGTCCGCTCGGATACGGGTGGCCATAGCTCAGAACCAGCTGCGAGGGAAAAATAAACGGAAGGGAAGCGAAGATGCTGAAGAAGACGCTACGTTCAGGTCTTCTTCTGCCCATTCCTCTTCATCGTCTTTTTCGAGACCTCCCCCTCCTTCAAGGTTTTCTACTATTTCCCCGTCCCTATTTGTTTCGCATAGGTATGCAGATCATACGCATCAGTTCATCAGCATGCTCTCGGATGACGATGAGCCGGACCCTTCTGTTTCCTATGCATCTTCGTCATCATCTTCTGTCCGTTCTTCATCGCGCTCTACGGCTGCAGTTCGGATCAAGAACAAATTACCGTCGACCAGCGCGAGCGCTGTTGATCTTACTATTTGTTCTGAGGATCAGGAGGTTGAGAAGCTATGCGAGCTTATGGAGGATGACTACTGGTGGCCGCGCAGTTGCGATGTGGATCCGAATATTCGCGCAGAATAGGTATTGCTTGGGTGTTCAATGGATGGGTTATTGGAATTTTACTCCTCGAGCGATAGAGGATGCCGCTTAGATGGTGTCCTTTTTTTGCGCGTGTTTGCCTGTTTGTTTCCTCTTCATTTTTCTTTCCATGTTGCAATGAGCTACGATTTGTGTGTTGTTATTATGAGCGTATGATTAGTTCGGTTTCGGTTATGTCATTTTATGTTTTTGTTCCTCAATTAAATTTCTCCCATAGTATGCTTGCATTTTCACAGACAGTTTACCTACGCAAAAATCCCAGCTTTCAAAGGCGCAACTGGCCCCTATCCATTAAGTCACACTTCGCAAAAACCCAAGCTGCCACCCCAACCACCAGCGGAACCAGGACAAACGGTGAACCCACAATACATCTCAACCCCTTCATCATAACATCATACTGCACCCTCTTCATAAACTCCGCAAACTCCTTACTCTCATTCAAAACGGAAACTCCACCTCCGGCCCCGGCACTTCCTTGCCCAAAAACTTACACAACGGCTCCCAGCCACTGCCTAGCTTATACTCCAGCAGCCGCTCCTTGGGCACAATACGGCGGATCATCGCATAGTGTCTGCGATATGTGTCCTTCGCATTGCGGTACAGGCCTGCGCGATTTGAGGCGTTGAACATGGCATACTCAAGCTTGACCATTAGTGTTGCGGGGCGAGCGGCTAGGAAGGGGTCTAGCATGTAGCGGATAAAGAGGACGGTCCAGGTGTAGCCGGCGGAGAGGACGTAGGTGCTGAAGGAGTGGTACCATTTTTCGATGTCGCGGTCGACGAGGATTACTTTGGCCTGTGTGGTGCGCTTTGTATCAATGCTTTGCGCTCGATGGGACCCCTCCGTTTCAATTTCAATCGCGGAGTTCCAGCTCTCTAAATGCTCTACCCAGGATACCATCCTTCCCCCGGGCCTCCTCTCTCAAAACCCCTTCTCCTCAATTCCAAATAAATCTACATACCTCCGGATACATATCCACAAACTCCTCCGAAAACCCAATAACCGGCATATCCGACAGGACGTGAAAGTCGTCCAGGAACGCATCGTAGTCCTCGCGCGCTAGCGGCTTGCCCTTGCCGTAGAATTTGGCATCAATGGCTCGCTCCCATTGCACCTGGTCGCTTGTGCGCTCGACGAAGTCAAAGCCATGGTACGTGCGCAGACCGAGGATTTGGTAGGCGGCCATCATGGAGACGGAGCCGGTGCGTGGCATGCTGAGATGGAGGACTTCGAGGGGGGAGGTGCGGATGCTTGTGTGGGAGGGGGGTTTGGGTTTGAGTTTTAAGGGCATGGTGGGCTTTGAAGGAAAGATATTCTACTGCCCTTTTCGAGGGAAGAGGGGAGGGAGAAGGTTGCGGTGGTTGGGTGGCTTATGGGTTGAGGTTTGTTATAGTTATTTGAATGGTGGACAACGATGTATGAAACCTGACTAGAATTGAGGATGGGGATGTCAATAATTGATTGCTTGAATCACGACAAAGGATAGCTTTTTATGTACTGTTCATAGACTATTTTCTTCAAGTTCTAGTTATGAATTCGGAGTTGCTGGTACTCCGAGCATGTCAGCTCGCAATTCCAGGTATCAGCCTATTTCGCACTTACAGCCCGATGCACCGTATCAATCCCCCCGACGCGATTCCAAGGATGCTGTCCTTAAGAGCGGGGATATGTTCTACTAATATTGAAGCTCTCAGCTGTAGCTAGACAGATTGACATCTTGAAATTTCCAACTTTTAGGTCTGCAATGGTTCAAGTGAACAAGTTGACCTGGGCATAGCTGGGAGATGGACTAGTTAGTTAACTATAACTAACTAGTTGTCAGATATCAGCATTTAGCAATGAAGCTATCCCAGAAATACTAAACAGTTCTCACCACGCCGGCACTTCAATTGTTATCTCTTATATGAAACCGTCACTTATATGAAACCTTCTCCCTTTTTTCCTTCTTTCTTTTTCTTTTATTAAGAATAGGGTAATTCAAGTTTCCCAGTATATAAATGTGGTTCAACCTCTCATACAACTTAGTTAGAGAGAGAGGGGGGAGGCAGCATGCAAATAACATACATTCTTTCATACTAATTAGTAGTTAACGTAATCCCCAAGCGAGCAAGCGAGCAATCAATTCGAAATATTATCTAACTCATCCACCTCAACACACAATTATGCCATTAATTCGCAGTAAAAATGCAACAAACTCTATAAATAGAGAGAAGAATTAAACTCATGATATTCATCATTAAAAAGCAAGAAATCTTCAACTTCAGAGACTGCATATCTTCTTAACATATTACACTCTACATTATATCAGAGACTTAAAAGCTAATCTTCAAAAATTAATTTATATGCAAATTCAATTAAAATAAAAAAGACAAAAGAATATCTACTGTATTAATTAATTATAAATCAAATAAATAAGAAAGATTTTTTTTATTTAATAACTATTTTACTTTTATTTTTTTTATATTAATAAAAACTAAATATTAAATTTTATTAAATATTATATAAAATTTTAATATTATTATTTTAATTAATATAATTATAATTAAAATAAATATTTAAATAAAAAGTATTTACAAGTATAAATTTTTAAAATAAAATTATTAAGTATAAAATTCAAATTAAAATACTTATAATATTAATAAAATAAATTTTATAATAAAATATTATATTACTATTAAAGTTATTTTAAATACTAAATATTATAATTAACTAAAGTTTTTATAATTTTAAAATTAAAAATAAATAAGTTTAATTAAAGTTAATATTTTTAAAAAAATTAATTTAATAAAATATTAAAATAATTAATATTAAATATTAATTTTAATATATAAATAGTAATTAACTAAATATTATAATATAATATAATTAATATTATTATTTTTTATTTAAATAATATATAATTATTATTTATAATATCTATATAAATAAATAAAAATTTAATTATTTTATAAATATAGTATATATATATACAAGTTAAAAAATATAATTTTTAAATAAACTTAATAAAAAATAAACTCAGATTAAAAGAATTTTAAATAATATAATTATATTTTTAAATATTAAAAAAATTAATTTTTAAGCTATAAAATAATTATATATAATTTATATATTTTTAATTTTTAATTTTATAATTAAAATTTAAAAAAAAATTATATAAATTATTTTAAAAAAATTTAAAATAAAGCTTCAATAAAAATATTATATATATTTAAAATATCTTTTCTTAAAATAATAAAAATAAAAATCTTAATTTTAATATTTACTATTTACTAGTTAAAATAATATAATGACTAGTAAATAATTAAAAAAATTAATTTCATAGTTATTTTTAACTTTTTACTTATCAGTCTTTATTATTATATATTTTTTATAAAGATCTATGTATTAAATCATAGTAATTATTATATATCTATATTTTAATATTGAACTTCTATAAGTATATTTTTTTTACTATTATTTATTCTTCTGAATAAATAAAAAAATATTATATTATTATTTATTTTATATTAAAAGATTTAAAATAAATTTTTTTTCTTTTATTAATTATTTTTTTTAAATAAATAAAAATTAATTTTTTATTATTTTTATTTTAATATATATTTTTTAAATAATAGAAGATAATTTATATAATTTATTATTATCTTTTAAAATTATATTATTATAAATATTAAATTTTAATATTTCTCTTTTTTTATTTTTTTATTTTTTATATTTATTTATTAATATTTTAACTTATTAGTATAATTGATAAAATATTCTATATATTTAATTCTTAATATGATTATATTTAATAAAAATAAAAATAATAAGCTTTTTGATAGTAAATTAGATTATAATAATAATTATATCAATTTGACTGAAAAATTTAAAAGTGATAATAGTAATAATAATAATAATAATAATTAAAAAAATTAAAAAAATAAATTTTTTTCTTCTGAATATTATAAGATTAAAAAATTAATTTTAATATTATTTAATCTTTAAAAATAATAATTTAAAAAACAGATAATTAATAAAATAAATAAAATTTATAATATTTGATAAATTTATAAAATATAAAAATCTTAAATATTATAAATATATAAAAAAAATTATTATTATTAATTATTTTTAATTTAATTTTTTAAGAAGTTTTTTAATTAAATTTATAATTAATATTATATGTTAGGGAGCGAATGCGAGCTGCATAAGAAGAAAGACTCTCTGCGTTGCTAACTGCTATATAACGAAATACTAAGCTTGATGGGATGAAAGGGGGTGCTGGGGGCCTGCGTGGATTATAACCACCTGCATGGTCGTGTGGTCACGTGATATGGATTAGGCCTAATCGGGCGCCGAGCTTAATCCGACGTCGAGTCTAACCGGGCACCGGCCTTCGGTCGGGCTCGGTCGGACGCTGAGCCTAACATCACCCCCCGGTCTAGGGGCAGGCATGTCCTCATGCCGGTAGGTCGTCATCAACCTCGTCCTTCAGGTAGCTGTCTGTCTCCCATGCCTTCAGCCACTCATCTAGTCGCCTTGGGGGTCCAGCTTTTGTAGGGTTAGCCTCATGGAAGTCGCGTATGGCGTGTGGTGATCCTTTGAAGTCGCGAGCGGGGTACCATGAAGAATCCTCATCAAACCCCTTCCAGCGCACCCGATACTGCAGCTTGCTCCGGCTTATTCTACTGGCCAGTATACGATCTATTTCCCATTCATTCTCACCATCTATTTCAATTGGGTCTGGTGGTCTGATAGTCTGGCCAGGTAGAGGGTCTCTGGAGTCCTTGCGTAGCTTGTCTGGGGAGAAGATTGAATGAATTTTCATTGTTATGGGGAGGTCCAGTTTGTAGGCATTGCCCACCTTTTCCAGGATTCTGAAGGGGCCGGCATTCTGCTCCGCCAGTTTACGGCTTGGTCGATCCATCTTGTATGATTTCAATGTTAGATAAACAAAATCTCCTACTGCAAAGTCAGGCTCTCGATGGTGCTTGTCAGTCTGCCTCTTCATCTGTTCCTGTGCTGTCTTTATGCCTTTACTCGCCTGGTTCCAGATCTCTCTCATTCGGTGAATGAAGCTCCTTGCTGCTTCTCGATTTCTTTTCTCATTCATGTCCAATTTCTCCGCCAGTGGTTGCCAGTCAAATGACATTCGGGGTTCATATCCATTTGCTGCGAGGAAGGGGGAGATCCCTGTGGAAGCGTTTGGGGTAGCTGCGGAGGCATGGTCTATAATGGGCAGCCACTCATCCCAGTCGTCTTGGTAGTAACTGACATAGGGGCGAAGACGGGTGGCAATGTATTGATTCACCACTTCTGTCTGTCCATCAGTTTGTGCATGATGCGCCGTTGAGAGTTTCAGTTTTATGCCCAGGATCTGTGTAAACTCATCCCAAAAGCTTGATATGAACTGGGGGCCTCGGTCAGAGACAATTGAGTCAGGCGCCCCATTGTATGAATAGTAGAATCGAATGAATAGTCGGGCCAGCTCCTGGGCTGTAACTCCCCGGGTGGTTGGAATGGAGATTGTCTTCTTGCTTAGCCGGCATACTATGACCAAAATGGCATCATAACCTGTTTTGCTTTTCGGCACGTCCATGAAGTCCATTGCAATATGCTGCCATGCCCGTTCTGGTATTGGTAATGGCTTTAGCAAACCAGGAGTCTTATCTCTTGGAATTTTACTGATCCGGCACACATGGCAGTTCCGAATATAGCGTAGGACGTCTGTCCGCCAGGTGGCCCACCAATAGCGTGATTGCACCAGGGCCAGGGTCTTTCGTCCTCCAGGGTGTGCTGTTGAAGCTTGATCATGAATTTCCTGCAGTAGCTTGGCTATCAGGGTTTCCTTTTCCTGAACAGGCACCACTAGTCTTCCATTGTACCGTAGCACATTGTCCTCCATTGTATAGGGACTATTCTCATCATCTGCCTGCTGCCGCAGGGGCTCAATTGAGGTGGCTGTCTTGTTTAGAGACACTATGCATTCAGCAATGCTCTCTTTCTCTGAGGAGTTGATGCTAGCAATGTCTGTAGAGGGAGTGATCTGGGGGTCGAGGGTCTCTGGTCCTAGGAGGATCTGCATACGGCCGTCCTGTTGCCTTCTAATCTGCTCAGGCCTGCTCAGTGCGTCTGCTAGCAGGTTGGCCTTGCCTGGTCGATACTTGATCTCAAAGTAGAAACGGGAGAGGAACTCTGCCCAGCGGGCTTGACGTGCATTCAGCTTCTTGGTAGTCATGAAGTATTCCAGTGCACGATGATCAGTGAGGATCTTGAATCGTTCCTCCCGTTGTAGTCCCTCAAGCTCTGCCC